GAAACGTTTCATTAGAGAAGAAACCGTCCAGAAGACCTATACAACTTTTTTTCTTTTTGATTTTTTACCTGGATTACTGAGATGCATCAGGACACTTTAGATGCTGATTATCTCAGAAGGAAAGATGAGCAGAGGTTCACACACACAAACATGAAGACACACACACACTTGTAGCTGTGTGCATCGCTGACTGCTGTTGACCTCATGAGGAGAAGCGATCTCCCTCAATTATAAATGATGTGTCACAGAGAAGGGGGCGGGGGCGGGGAGATGTGTGGGGCCGAGGGAGGTAAAAACAGGAGGAATGAATGTGGTCAGAGGAGTCAACAGAAAGTGGAGCGGAGGCTGACAGAGGGATGGAAACAAAAAGCAGAGCAGGAAATGACGGAGAGACAGAGGGACGGATGAAAGGATGAGAGGAAAAGGAGTGAGAGGAAGAAGAGCAGAGATGAAAGAAGAGGAGGTCAAAGCGTATTGATCCTGACGTGTTCCTCCTGCAGCGGGTCGGACTCGGCGTCACAGCTGAACACCACTGAACACATGAGAGCAGCTGGCAGGATATGTTCGACCCTGCAGGGCTGCACACACACACACATGCACACACACACACATACACGCACACTATGTACACACACTGTGCACAGCCTCTTCTACCTGCCACTCAGCTATTTTTAGTGTTTCAAAAACATAAAAATCGAAAACAAACAAAAAACTAAAAATAGACACAGCCTGCTGGAGGCAGGCTTCATGATTCATCAAACAAATTGTCTCTTTCCAACTATAAGTTCAAACACTCACATGCTTGAAAAACATAAAAATAAAACAAAAACTCATTTCCTCATAATTTCATTTATAAAAAGGAACTTGCCTTCTTTCTTTTCTGTCATTACTTTATTATTTATAATTACAGAACAAGTTCAGTCAATTCATTCTGTTTAAAAATAACTTATGAAACCAACTGAAAGAAATTATATTGATTCTGTCAGGTTTCAGCTGATAATGTGGCTGCCTATAAAGGTGGTGTGCTGCGGAACAACAAACCATTTTTTTAACCACTTACCTAAAAAAGGGATTTTTTTTAAAGAAAAAGTACATCTTTAGCAGAAGTAGCTAACATTGCCTCCTTGTGGTCATTTTTCATCTGCTTATTTAAATTTCTGATCATTTAATAGGAAATTTGTTCAGAAGCAAAATGTTTAAAAGGATGTTTTTAACCTTGTTGATCAAAAGTTTGATTTGACAAAAACATTCATGTCTTCTTTTAAATCCATTCGGAGTTTAATTTTATTATTAAATTTAAACTTACAGACATCAGACTGATGATAAATCATTTTGACATGATGCTGAATTCACGGGTAAATGGAAAGATTGTTTTGGAGCAGCATCACTATGATTCTTCCATCACCGTGCTTCACAGTTGATGTTATTTCTCTCTGTTTTGTTCTGAACTGTTGCTCTTGTGTATTCAAGATAAACTCTTTAGATTTTTTAAACTATCTCAACAGTTTTGTTGCATGTATTACTGCTGAAATTGTGCTTAAGTTTACACAGTTCTGTATGTTTCTCTGAATTTTTCAYTATGATTTGCCATTTTTTATCTTATAACGTCCCTGAAAAATGTTTGCTCTTCACACTTTTAGATCATTTTTTCCATTTTTTCTTTCTTTAGAAGACTTAAAATCCTGTTGCAGGTTTTATTTTAAATAAATATCATTGTTTTAGTACTATATTTTGATGTACATTTTGTTTCCTGCAAATAGTTTTGACTTAAAAGCAAAGCATTTTAGTTTGAAGTTTTGCTAAGATTATCCCAGTCAGATAGCAGGATCATTAATTGGTTGAACAGTGTTACATTAGAAACATGCACTTATATTAAAGTTTAGAAGTTTTTAAAGCTATTGAGACTGGGTTTCCAAACATTTTGTCCCAATAGGATATTATTAATGCACCTGTGCTTTATTCAAAGTTAAAAACTAGAAGTGAGGGAAAAGTAAAAGCACAAAAAAGTTAAAAAAAAAGTAAAATAAATAAATGCTAACAAACCCTAACAAACCTCAGTAATTAGTTGTGACTTAAGCATGTGCTCAGACTGGTTTTATGTGTGTAATGGAGTGTTTTCCTTTCTTCCACATTAGCAGACAATTTTAAAAGAACATAAACGAGGACCAACATATAAAGTAAGTGCTGTAAACCTTACAATGGAGGTGCTGTTGTCGAGCAGCAGACGTAAGAGGAGTGCAGGATGTCATGAAATATGTACGAAGGAGCAGCTTAGCACCGGAACACAAAGCCATTAAAGAAAGATCAGGAGAACGCAGTCAGATAGAAACATAAACGTCCATTTCCTTGTTATTCAGAGAAACACGGGCGCTCGCGTTAAAAGCACCAACGATCCGCTTCGACTCGGCACTCCTGCGTTTTAGCATTTCCTGGTGAAAAATGCACACTTTAATGCTTTCTGACCTGTAGGCACACTTTCAGTCACACAGGTTCAAAACACAGAACTTTCATGTTGCTCTCTGCTCTTTCCCATGCGTACACATGATGTTAATCATTAAAGGGGTACATGAAAGAAAGCACAAAAACAGTTAGTTGAACATGGAGCAAAGATTTTATGAGTGGAACAGGGAATAATGTTTTATGGAGCCAGCTCAGGATGAGACAGAGTGCTGTGAATTCACTCTCAGCGCTCTCAGCTGGGCTTTAAACTCACTCATTTATCAACAAGCTGCTGTTGCTTTGGATGAACAACCTATCTATCTATCTATCTATCTATCTATCTATCTATCTATCTATCTATCTATCTATCTATCTATCTATCTATCTATCTATCTATCTATCTATC